CTAATGGAGGAAGCGCATTACAGTTCAGCAGGGACACCAATGTCACTATTTACTTTTGTTTGTGGATGAACAACACAGGCAGCTCACTCACTGCTGTGGGTTTTTAACAGGGAATCTTCAAATACAGATACAGAGGTCTGGGAATGGGCTACTGAAATAAAGACAAGGAAAATATGCTTTATGGTAGCCTCAAGAGACCTTTAAGATTAGCTTTTCATCTTGTAGGTTAGCACAAATCCAAAATTGGTAGTACAATACAATATGCATTCAAGGGCCTGTACCTATATTTTTCCATCTGAGCAAATTTGGCCTTGCCTCAATACAGATGTTTTGTATAAGCAACTCTTAAATACATATTATAAAGCTTTTATGTCAAAGAAACAGGAAGTACACTGTTAGCCTATGCTTTCTCATAAAGGCAACCTTTACTTTGGCCTCTGAATAGTTATAAAAAGTGCTTAAATTTGGCGGAATTTTAGAATAATCTGAATTCATAAGGTAAAAATCTGCAAATTGTTTACAATGAAGCCGTTCTGATTTTCACATTTTTGAGACATTAAAAATCAAGTACAGCGCCTTTAATAACTTTCATTGGGTTTCATTTTATTTAGCTAACAAAGTCTTAACGACAATTATAAAAAATGTCAATACTGCCATTCAAACTGTTTCAGAATTCACATTTCACACATTTCTAAATCCATTTTTATCCGAAACTAGAAACCTCCCTATTGCGGTATTCTGGCCTATCTTGTATTTGATTACTAGAAACCCCAGCAGTAGCAGTAGCAGTAGCAGTAGCAGGAGTGAGTGTGAATGGGAGGTCATTGCTCTTTCCTAGTGTATTTCTTCAGTGCAGAGCTACAGATGCTAGCCTCTTGATGAACGCACTATTTTGACATTCATCTGGGCCTGCTTGTTAACTCCCCCACAACAGATCTGATGCAGTGAGACAGGCCTGTGCCGCACATTAGCCCAGTCGCTCCAACCGCACTCAAGCAAACCTGAACTGCACGCTCTCCCATCATCACGCCACGTCTCCAAGAATGAGGAGACAAAAACACTTGATCAATATTAGAGCAGCGGCCATGTCTGAAATGCTTGGAGAGTCGAGAGAGGCGATGTCAAATAAAGAAGTGTCCCCAATTAGCTGCAGCTCCGGAGCACTCAGACAAGCTGTAACAGAATGAGAGCTACATGTGTACAGATGTCCTCATTCTGTTTGAGTGTCGCTGAACAGATAACGTGATCAAAACAAGCATTTTATATGGGCTCATATTTAAATTATACAGTTTTGTTTTTCATTAGTTGATCTGCTGTGTACAAATTACTGTAGTTTCTTCCAGTGCCAGGTAAATTGGATGTTTAAAAAACAACTGGAGAATAAATTTATTGGAAAGACTTGTAGCATAAATATATTGTGTTGTACTTGTAACCAAGTTATTTATAGGGTTAGTGTGAATAAACTGAGGCTGCTGCAGAGTGCTAAGGATGTGGTCGAAGTTGATTTTGCTGTGGCAGGATAAACAGACTTAGTTAAGTGTGTCAAATTACAAATGGCATCTAAGATGAAGCGCAGAGAGAACAAATGGGGATTATATAACACTCACATTTCATTAGCTGCTGCTGTTGTGCCACAGAGGAAACCACTAAAGCTAACCAAACTCTAGTGACGTGCTTTATGAATGAGTGGGATCTCAGGCCTCAGTCCAAATGCAGCAGAACCTCTGAGCTGCAGAGGGGCACGAGGAGCCCTATTGATTTTAGAGTGGCGTTGTAATTGCTCGTGCACAGAAAGCAGTAAATCATGAGCCTAATTCTTCTGTTTATACAAGCAGAAGATCAGCGGCAGCAGAGACCTGGCCTCTGTGTAGAATAATGCATAGACTGACAGCAGCAGCTGCCGAGGGGAAAAGGTCAACTCGAGTTAATCAACTAGAATCAGCATCAACGAGAGCTCAACTTGTGCATGTGCATGGATATGTGCACACACAACAGACCACAACATACATAAACACACACATACACAATGCACACACAATACATACAAACAACATGCACATACAATACACACAACAGACCACAACATACATAAACACACACACACAATGCACACACAATACACACAAACAACTCACAACATACACGCACAAACAACATGCACACTCACACATGCTGGGTGCCTAACCTTAAACCAACCATTACCTTAAATCATTTGTACAAATATCTGAGTTTAAATCGTGTTTGTGGCTCTTATAATTTTTGTCCCCATAGGCAGGCAAATCCTAGAGTTGAGTGTGTAGAGTTTAGTCCCCACAATGTAATAAATCCCGTTCACATAAACACTCACAAACAACACAACACAAACCACCGCACGCACTCACAACCTGCAGTAGGACATCCATCAGGGTCTAAGAGGCTGCAAAAGTGGAGCCCGGATCGGCTCAGGGTGGGCTGCAGGTTAAGTCCGCTCGCCGTCTGATACATAAGAGCTCATGTTTTAAACATGTACATGTGTGTACTCACACACAGGTGCTCCACAAATAAGTGCACTCTGACCCCACAGGTAAACTACATGCTTCACTTACACCTGTCAGCCATACAGGTGACATCAATATTTCACACGCTGTGGACAAAAGCTTTCAAACTCACTTTACATGAGGCCTACACAAACTTGTGCACTTAAACTATATTTTATTTAGGAACAACTCCCTCGCACTTGTTTAAAAAGTATATGTCCAGACATGCCTGCACTAAAGTGTGTTTTCTATGTACACTGTATAGTATATACAGTATAAAAGAGTTTGAAAGAGAACTATCCTCATGGAGAGCACCACAGAGGCCATGGTCAAGTAGTGCTCCCGACACCAAAGCTGCGCACACCATTATGTGGCTAATAAGAGGTTTGAGGTGTTCTTTTTCAAATGGACAATAGTAAAGTAAAGCATCAATAGGAGCGCTGATGAGCCGCTGTTAGTTTCAAAGCCACAAACTTATAGAGTGTAAACATGCCTTGACCTCTGCTGTATCTTTTGTTTGTCCAAAGCCACGGGATCACTGCTCAAAAACAAACAGACGATGTTTTCAACTCAAATGATGACCCAAATATATGGACAAGGGCATCCTTCTGTGTAATTACATCTACGGAGCTTTATAACTCCAGTAATTGCTGGAAAGTTTAAGATAGGCAAACTTGGGAAAAGTATGTCCACAATATTACAGCAGTTTCTGCCTAGTAATGCACTCCAAACAAAAGTAGATTTGCGCAGACTTTGTAATAATACACTGTACAGGCAGTTTAAAACGCCACAACATGCAGAAGTGCTGACATGATTCTTGTTTATTTGGGGCTGGTACTTGCAGATTTTGGGGCTATAATTCTAGTAGATGATGTAAATATGTTTATCAAAATGTAATTGCTGTCATGCAATGCCACTAAAAGTCCAAGCAGCCTTTAAAGAAGCCCTAGAATGTCTATACACAGTATATTACTAGCAAATATATACTTTTAAGACATGTGAGTCCCATAATAACAGGCGTTAGCATCCTTCCTAGACCTCAACAGTGGCCCAGCTAAAATCACAGGGTCGTGCTTCACCATCATTCAGAGGTTGAGTGAATGATGTGAGAACTACTTCGACTGTGTTCCTGAGTGGTGCAATAATGTTTACTTTAGTACAATCACGTCCGTACCTCACCAGAAAGAAGTGGCCTGATCTAAAAAACCAAACCGCTGTCTTTGTTCATCCTTCCGCAATGCACACTTCCCCTGAAAAGTGCAGTGGGGTCCCCGACTGGGTTTATTTGGCCCTCTGCATGCTTCATCACAACGTGAAACCTGACATTATAGGTCTGGTCATGTAAATCCATAGATGTACAATAGTATATAAGCGAACATTAAACGACTTGGGTCAAATCAATAATTGAGCATTTTAACCTTGTTTGCAGCCTCCCCAATGAATAAATAAAAGGGAAAACAGGAGACATGCAGAGCACAGCAGCCACACTAAACAAACATTTAGTGAGTTCTAAGACGTTGTATGCTGATACCTTTCTATTAAAACTAGGCTTGCATACAGAAAATGAAGAATGATATGGATTTTACAATGTTTGTAGAGGAGTAAAAAACAGGCTTTATGTAGTTGCTGAAAAGACATTACCTATACCTTTACTGCAGCCTTTATGATTTCATAATTTCAGTTATTCTAATTGCAATTATTCTAAGTGTAGATTTGATTACGACTTATCTTACATCCCTAATTAGTTGCAACGCTGTCGCTGAACAATAAGTGCTTCAGACTACTTTTGGGCCATTGCTTGAATCTCTCACTAGACATAACATCTGATCTGAATACTGCCGTAAACCCTGGAGTCTTTTCTCTCCAAACACAATCAGAGGATTTTTTTTATTATCTGCGTGTCCTACATTTATTGTGTGTCAAACTATTTAGTGAACTGCCCAAGGCCTTGACTTTTACAAGTTACTCTTAATATCATTTTATATCAACTAATGATATAGGTCAGGTCTAACTTACACAACAGTGACTGCTTGTCTTAAAAAAGAAGGATTTTATATGTATGTATATTTATGTATGGAAAAAAGTGGTCTAACTTTACACTTATTCCATTCTATTATGCTCTTTATCCTTGTGTTCGTATTATAAAACACATTCTGTTACTTTGGATTTGCTAGTCATGTATTGTCAAATTTTGGCCGGTCTTTGATCAAAAAGCCACTATAGTAACTGTACACGTTTTACATGTTTTCCCAGTTTCAAGCTTGACACATTGACAAGCTAGGCGTTCCTGGCCAAGATTGATTTCAAGGTAGAGTTCCCATTCACGAAACTGCTCTTCTGTCTAACTGTTCCAGCAGCAATAAAGGATAAATCACAAATAACTACTTGAGCTTTTACTTCTAAATCTTTGACTTATACAGTGTAGTTTTGTATCCCCCTGTCTACAGTACAGAGCAATGTGATTAGACCCATGGGCTTGAGTACCTGTGCGGGGCGGGGCTTGTAGGGCGAGCTGCTCTCCAGGTCAGCCAGGATACTGGTAAGAGAGTCAATCTCAGCGTCAAGACTGGAGCGCCTCTCCTCCAGCGTCTTCTCTGGAGTCCTCATCTGTGGACACATCACAGACCAAGATCAATACACACTCAAGAATTCACAAGTTGAATTCATGCAATGTCAGAATACTCTCTGGAGCAAAAAAAAACAAACAAACACAAAAACATAAACACACACACAAAAAAAATACATTAACGTGGAAGGCAGCTAAGAAGTTAGAATCAAATTATGCGCAATTAATCACATTTTCTAATGGTCCGTGATTGGTTTGTGTCTTTTTTAACCACAGTCACGCCTCTGTCAGCAAAAGACTCTGTTCCACCTTGTGATGTCATATGGTAATAAAGAAAGCGCTCAACTGTGTTTTTAAACTCAATACACCTTAACACCTAGAATCAATTGGATAATTTCAGCCCCTGGATTTCCAGTCTCTGTTACACAAAAGGAAAAAGTAGCTGTTAATATGAAAACTACTGCTTCTTGACATCGCAAGGTGGAACAAAGCATTTTGAGCGTTGGAGATGTAGACAGACTAATGGCAAAGGAAAAATTCAATTCTGTCAACTGAACAAAAGACTAATAATAAAAGATTACTCAAGCATGTGTGTATGGAACGAAACACAACTCAAGGTTAGTTTTTGATGAGATAACAACATAACATGGTTTAAAGCTCACAAGAGTCAATTTTAATATAGGACCTTCAAACTGTCCAAAAACAGATGTTTTGTCCATTTATATACACCCATGTCTTGTGTCATACAGTGCCCACTCGCCATAGTCCTAATTGCAATCCCAGCCACAAGAGTAAAACCATCATCCTCGCCTTCATTATCAAAGTATATTATAAATGCCAGTTCATGTTAGGTCTCTCCTTGTTGAAATAGAATCTTATTTCAACTGAAGTGATACTTTGATTCTTAACAATGTCGTACACACCATGATACAATACTTGACGAGCTGTATTTTTCATGCTTACAGTTCATCCTTCACCTTTACCCTGGATGATCCTTTTCAATCAACAGCAAGGGTTGTTTTTCTCAGAGTAAAATACACAGAGAAATTGTGTAGTTGTCATGATACATAAATGTCATACATGCTGCTAAGGAATAGACTCTTAATTACTTAATACTGATTCTGATACCACAATGACAATTAAAAACATTCTTTCTTTAGACAATAGCATGTGATTTTCAACATTAAATCATAGTACTTTGTTTTATATTACTATGTGGTCTTGTATCTGTTTATTCCCTCAGTCTATGTGATTTATAATTTTACTGATACAGCTCAAGATCGTTCTAAAGATATTCAGAAAAGGTTAATTTCTCTCTTGTGAATGTGACTTTTTTACCACTGATACCTGCTCAAATAAGTATCTAGTTTCGATACTAGTTTTAGTATTGATTAGTGTCTGATTTTCAAAACCTTAGTATTGTGTAAAAGAAAACTTTACTGGCGCGCTAGACTTCTCACGTGTCTTTTTTCCCATCACACTCACATTTTAGTATCTTTTCTTCATGCATTATTCACCACCAGCTCATTCAGATGCATTTCAGACAAAAAGGTCAATTCCCTAAATTAAACTTGCATCTATTGTACTCTACGTTTATTCTCCTTTTTACAAAGCTTCTCTAGCTTTGTAAAAAGGAGAATAATGGTTTCAATTCTCTGAAATTGCCCCTAAAATCACTCTCATTCATCACATTTTACCTGGACTTACTTTTTACTTTGTTAAATTGCATGTGCATGCAAGACTTAAATGCTGTCTGACCACAAACAATGAAAGCTGTTTGTGGTCAGACAGTGGAAGTGGAAATATATCTTACAATATATCAGCAAGAAATGCATTAACTGATGAATTAATTAATGTTAACAAACCAGTCAGAAGTATCAGATGGATCAGATGGATAGATTCTACTGTATTAATATTAAAGGAAAACCATGGTGCGCGGTCTGTTTCTAACATTCAAACATCACATACATAAAAAAAACACAATACATTTTAGCCAGTAAATATCTGGTAAAAAAAATTTAATTAATACAAAAAAATCTAACAAAAAATTGTTCTGGGAATTAAGTTAAATAAATGAAATCCGTACTTTGGATTTTAAAACCGATGACATCTTAAAACCTGAGATTAATAGTTTTCATTAATTTTCAAAAATCTGGAACTAAAAAAGTAAATTAATTAAAAAGAAAAAAAAAACAAAAAACAGGAAGTTGTAGCTGAAATGATCTGACCATTAGTGACACTGGGTTTTCGACTAAATTCCCGGGATTTTCTCTGTGGAACGCCAGATATATTTTTAGTCTTGTGAACTATGCTGCAACTGCGAGAAGACTTCTTGCAATTGCCTGCGGGGGCTTTGTGAGTTGGCTGGATCAGTGACTCGCTTCTTATTCTAATGTTATGTGTTTGGATTACCTGTCACAAGCCATTACAGGCAGCGAGGAGCCGACCGGAGCGCGCTGCTTAAAAACATCTAAAGCAATCACGAGACGGGGTAAACAAAGCCCGAAAACACTAATGGCGCGTCTCAAATCAACAAAAGGAAAAACAGCTCCACTTGTTTAACCATTATAACGGGAAGGATGAAAGCTAACCAACGAAAGCGCGTGATCTTCATGATGGGGTGAATATTGCAACGTACGGTCTCGTAATACGGACAGTAATGAGACAAGATAAGGTTTTGTTCTGGAGAACTTTTGAGTGTTGTCATAATTCAGATGCGTGTTGTCCTAAGAGAAAAGAAAAGAAATGTACAGATTTATCTTTCATTTACTCGTTTAAGGCACACTGTGTCGGAGCTTTGCAGAAAACTTAAAAGAATGGGAACTCCAAAATAGACTTTACGTATTGTATTTAAATCAAGACATCAAGAAATGTGAGAGGAAAAGCACGAACTAAAAAATAAAACCACTAAAATAATATGAAGTAAACCGTGATCTCTCACTGAACTAATGGGCATTTGAGAGACAGAAAAATAATGATTTGTTTTTTGAAATATTTGATCCAAAAAACTCTTCATTTTTTGTGTATTGTTTATTTTTTATTTTTTTTATTAGTGCAGGCTCATAGCAAAAATGTTCCAGATTAAATTCTTGAACTGGGCCTATCTGTGTGAAGTTTGCATGTTCTTCCTGTGACTAAGTTTCCTTTGGGTGCTTTCCCATCACTAGAGCGCACGAGTCAGGACTCCTCTTAAAGAGTCTAAAGGTAAAATAAACAAAAATACAGTGTCCATGCCACAGCATACAGGCAAGAGCATGACACAGTGTGCCATTATTTTCTATAACTCTACACATACTTTGTGCTTATGAGGCAGAAGGCAGAGATAGGGGATAGGGGACAACAGAAATTTTTGGAGCAGGCCTCAAAGCAGAACAATACAGGGTTACAGGGTCAATGAATTAATGAAAGTACTACTTGGAATAAGCTAATGATGTGGGAAGACCTTTGTAATATGGTTAAAAGCTCATAAAAGTACATTTTACTAAATATGTCCAAGTTACAATATATTCTGATCTATGTTATAATGTTGCTTGCTCATTAAAAACATACCAGGAGTTGTGTTTTGTTTCATTTACAAATGTTTAACACACAAACCCTCCATATTTAATCAGAAAACTCTACCTTGTAATGTCATGTAGTGGAAGTGCTCCACTGTCTTTTTAATTTTCATACATCTTCACTAAAATCATTTGGATGATCTCAACTCTGGAATTGTTGATCTCTACTAAAAAGTAAACGGTAGCTGCTAACTTGAAAACTACCACTTCATGACATCACAAAGTGGAAGAGAGCATTTTGAGCTTTGGAGATGTAGACAGACAAAAAATGCAGGATTACTTAAAAATGTGTGAATAAAACAAAACACAACTCCGGGTATGTTTTTGATCAGGTAACAGCATTATAACACAGCTTAAATCTGACAAGAGTAAATTTTGCATAATATAGGACTTTAACCCCTTAACGTCGACTGTCACAAATAAGCGACAAACCGTTTGGATCAAGATATAAGCCGAGAAAGGGGCTGCATTCCCCCAATCCAAATTAATGCATCTGTAGAACCTTCCTAGGAACCTTTTTTGTTTGTTTGTTTGCTTTAGTCAAATCAATCTCAATTTAATTTACCATCTACTAGGCAAAAACACACACAAAACATTTTTATATACATCTATATAAATCCAGGCGTTAAGTGGTTAAAGATATGCTTAGGATTCTTAACCATTACTACTGGCTTTATAGTGTAGCACTTGCAGTAAGTAATGATTACACAGTGGTAAAGGTAAGGCCTCAGTCATGTTAGTAGTGTTAAACTTTTGAACTTGGAGGTCAGAGAGTCCAAAGCCTTTAAACATGATTTCAAGAGCGTGGTTCATCAGACCTTCACCCCTGCTCCACACAAACACACTGGGGATGTTTGTCATATTTGTAACATGAGCTTTTATTTCGGCTCTTCCTCTCCCCAAATGTGACATGGGATACAAGCCAAGTTTAAGTCAGTCACCGGGTTGACTTCACCACAGGGTTGAGAAATAACGGCTTTAGCAGTACACTGTCAAACCAAGCGTAAGTCATTCACAACTCACACCACTTTGTGCTAAATGTTGTGCTAAATGGTTATCAGATCCCAACAAACTAAACTGTAACTAATTTTGTTTAATAAATACAATATAATGGTGATATATTAAATTCTATATTATGCTAAATTTACTCTTGTGAGCTTTAAGTTGTGTTAAAATGTTGTTACCCCATCAAAAACATACTTGAAGTTGTGTTTTGTTTCATTCACACGTTTGAGTGACCATTATTATTATTATCTGTCTGTATTCAAAGCTCAAAATGCTCTGTTCCTCCTTGTGACGTCATGTAGTGGTAGTTTTCAAGTTAACAGCTACACTTTCCAATTTGTTTAGTAGAAATTGGTAATGATGGAGCTGAAATCATCCTAATGATTCTAGTGAAGGTGTATGGCAGTGTTTCCCAAACTTTTTTTCTGGGGACACATATTTTAAAAGTCACAAACCCATGTCAATAGACATTACTCGTAAATCACAAAATAAAGGTGGATTTGACCATTACTGAACATTAATGAGGATATAATAAAATATCCTCATGCTGACTCTGAACAATTAGTTCTACTCAAGTTTAAACAATGAAAAACAGTCATTGAACCAGCAATAAAAGGGGTCCATAAGTCGTATTAAATGTAGCCCCCATTTCTTTTTCTTTTCAACATTCAATTGAATCAGCATTATTGGAACAAATAATAATCATGTCAATTAAATAACTGCTAAAAGATTACAAATTATACAAAACTTGTGTCTTAAAATTTCAACATTTCTAGTGAGATAGGTGGGCCTGTCTGCGTTTTTTGTAGTGTGTTCTAGTCCAGTGAGGAGAGCGCAGTAGCAGATCAGGTGACCCAGAAAAAATCTTTTGCGACCCACCTGAGGGTCACGACTATGGGATGTATGGAGTGATGTACGGAGTTTAAAAACACAGTGGAGAACTCCCTGTATTACCATATGACACCAAAATGTGGAAGAGAGTTTTCTGTTTGAGTGAAGAACAATATGCAGGATTTGTGTGTTAAACACGTGTGACTGAAACAAAACACAGTTGGTTATGTGAGTTCGCTTGAGTTGAGCTTGTCGGATTGGAGAGTCAGTGTATGCCGGAGTCAGAGTCTTAACTTAAGTACAGTGGAAGGATCTGTAAAGGGCACATGAGAAGTAACTTAAAAAGCATTATATAACCAAGATCGATCACGTAACCAGCCCTGCTCTGTGCCTACAAAGGATGTATTCATTTAGGGCCTGAAAATGAGCAGATCTAATGAGGGGCTGAGAGAGAGAGAGTGAGACAGAGAGAAAGTCACACACACATAAAGAGAGAGACAAAAGAGAGGGATCCAGCAACAGAATGAGAGAAAGACAGATTAGAGGAAGAGAGTGGATGATTGAGGAAAGAAAGGAAAAAAAAAGAAACAAAGAGAGACAGACAGACAAAGAAAAGATATAGCGAGAATGCAAACAGCCATCAGCCATACCAGTAGGGGGCATTCTCTCAGGCAGACTCAGAATAATACAGCTCAAACATTATGTAAAATGTATTTAAAATGTGTTTTGTTTAGTTGTTTTTTTTTTTGCAATAATATGAACAGTATATCTTTAATTATTAACAAAAAAATAGGATTAATATTAATATTTAGAACCACAAAACACATTAACTATTGAGGGCTTAACTAACGAACACTTGATTAACTTATTTGTAAAATCTATGTCTTGGATACTAGTTTATTATGAGCTGAGACAGTTTTTTTAGTTTTTAGTTTACATCAGTATAATGTACGATGGACATACAGTGTAAAACCTACGCCAAAACAAGATGCAAATCTGCATACAAGGAGCCAAATAGTTACCGTGGCAACCCCGAAGGCAAACAAACCAACACGCCGGGGAATACTTTGTGAAAGATTAAAACTTATATTATAATTTTTTTACTTAGGTCTGCATTTTTAGCCAGAGGAAAGGAAATGTGTGAATATCTTTTTACATGTAGTGCTTGTCTCACCTGGTAGGGGTCGTAGGAGTTGGTCGGGGGAGGAGGGAAGGTGCCCGATGTTGGCAGAGTGGTTAGCTCTTCCGGAGGTGGTGGTGGGGGCGGGTAGTCTGTAACCAGAACCATACACACAGATCAGACTGTAAAACTTCTGCTTTTTTTATGCAGAGAGGCTCCAAAATAAACGTTTGACCGGGAAATTCATGCTTTAGTTCTCTATCAATTTGCATGTTCAACATCTTATTAACAGGACAAACCACACATGTCAATGCAAATAGGATGGGATACTGCAAGACATTTTATATGATTTTATTTTACACTATTTTAAAGGAAATGTATGTAAGATTTAGATTTAAAATTTTATATACATGACCTATATGGGTCCCCAGATATAAGGTAAACATTCAAATCCAATATAGTTTTTACTCATTTATTTTTACAAACAACACTGGAGGTGATGACCATGTTGTTTATGTTATTGTTATAATTTGGTGTTTTGGTTCTCAAGATGATAATCCAGTGAGAAAGCAGAATGAACCTCACACAAGTCTCTCATTTGGGTTGGTTAAAACCTAAAAGGACTCTCTCTGATCTGACTCCATAACAGTTTGGTGTTTTGGTTCTCAAGATGATAATTCAATCAGAAAGCAGAATGAGCCTCACATGAGAATTTCATTTGTCTGATCTGAATCGTGTCTAAACCCCAGCTGCAGAATTTGCAGTCCATAACAATGAGAAAAACTTGTATGTGTTTATATGCAGGTTTAGGCGATAAGATGTGATTGTAATAAAGAGCACAGGCTACATACAGTTCCTTTAAGATTATGTACTTTTGGAGTTCATTTTCTACCTCCAAAAGTTTTATCTTTTTTTTCTCATTTCTCCTCCAGTTCTACTGTACTTGAATTATAGGACAAAACCCTGCAATCAATGTTAAAAGTACATACGGAAATGCCTTTCTCATACATACAGTACTAAAGACGTGCACTAAAACTTCATATCACAATGCAACACATATACACACACACACACACACACCCACACACACAATTCACTGCTATTTAAACGTAATGTCAAGAGGCACTTGAGGTAAGACTGATTTCTTGTAAAAAGTATCAGCAGGAAAAAAGTTAAATTTGTTTCAGCTTTAATTAGTTACTGTGGAAGAGTTAAGCAGACAGACTTTTTACGGACATCACCATGCAGAATGTTGTTATACAGTATTAAAATAGATTCAAATAGAGGATGTTTTCACAGTAAAACCCTTCTGTTAACTTGAAAGTGTCATTTAAGTGTGATCTTCTACAAACATCCTTTATTTCACTGTTCTTTTGATTCCATGTGCTTGTTTTGCTACCGAGTCAGTTACATTTGATTCACTGATATTGGCTGACAGCATTTAAGGGGTTCGTAAAATTGACATTTCATGACATGGAGTCATACGTCAGTACTGACATGGAAAAATGGTGATATGACAAAATACCATTTTTTTATGTTTACACCATGAACATATAGGGTGACTCCTAAACAACTGATTCCAGGGTAGAAAATAAGTTCTGTTATAGAGTGATTTTCTAATCTACGTATGCTGTAATGTTGTTTTCTCATTACAAACACACCTAGAGTTTTTTTTTTTTTTTTTCATAGACACACGTTTAATAAACAAACCCTGCATATTTAGGCTGAGTTCTTCTCTCAAACAAAAAACACTAGGAAGATTTCAGCCCTGGAATTGCCAATCTCTGAACTGATTGAACTAACTAACTACTGAACTAAATAAAACTTATCTTTCATCTTAACTTGAAAACTACCACTGCATCACATCACAAGGTGGAATATTTTGGTGGAGTATTTTGAGTATGTTTTTGATGATGTTTTCTTTTTATTTAACTTTTTTATATTGGACATTTAAGTAATCATTTCTACTGGTCAGATCTACTAAATCAGCTGAGGAGACAATGAACTTTGTCATGTCAGTCAGTAGTTGAACACATTATTGCTAAAATGTGTTTAACGTAATCTGGAGCAAGTCTGTGTTTGTCAGATTGGGAGCGTAAATGTTCTAAATGGGTTAAGACTGGACTCGCTGTGCCAGAGGAGGGAACAAGAACATGCGTCGTTAATCCAAGGATTGCCTCTAACCACATGTTTCTAACCGGATAAGGACTTTTGTGCCAAATTAAATTCTGATTTGTCTTTTTGGTGCAAGACAGAATCATTTCACCAAGTACATCTAATGACCCAACCAGACATGAGCTCTGCAAATTAAAAGCTTTTATGAGACGTAATGGGAATTTGTTGCAACGCCGCATCTTTGATGAGTCCTGTTCAGATATTCAGTTTGCTTCTTCTGCCTTTTATGTCGTTCATTAGAATCTAACTGGTGTCATCAGTGTAGTTTATCCCAGGCAGATGACCAAGTCAATTAAGCATGGAGCATTGACAAGCAGCGAGGGGAACCACTGAACCAGGCTGAGAAACATGTTGAAAGTAGTAAACAGTGGCAAAGATTCTTCTGGGGGCTTAACCACCATGTAACTATTTATGTGGTGCCCTTTGACCTTTGGCTCCACTCTAAACTAAAGTAGTCCTTGTGCTTCTCAAAATGCGGTACAGACAACTTGGCATGCACCAGCTACTTCTGATGGTGTTCAGAACTGTTGCATGTCAATGTCAGGTTCATTTGAATGTGATGTTAATATTATTTATTTAACAGGTTACATTTCAGTTTAGTATCATTTAGTCCTGATTTTAATAACATGCTTCATGAAGATTACATGCTGGTTAAGACTTGTGTTGAATCAAGCCCACCAGCCACGTTACAAACGGACGGGAGCATTTGTGGGAACTGATTTCATTGAAGGAGACTGATTCCAATTGACTTCTATTTGAAAAATGATACTCTCTCTGTAACTGCAGCTATCAGGTCTCTCATTCTGACATTAAAATGTTCATATTAACTCACACTATAAGATCATGGTGTTTTATTGATGGATTTTGTTAGTAAATGAAAAAAAGGATATAAATAATAGATCAGTTGTCTTCTTTCTGCCAGCTCCCATTAGCAGGAGCAACAGATTTGATTGACAGCTATCACACCTTGTTGCAAAGCTGCTGGTTTGGCGGAGGGCAAGTACCATCAACAATCTCACTCCTGATTGGAAATCTGAGTGTGTGACCAGAGAGCCAAATATGGAACATGGTTGCAAATTAGTTACAATAATAGCTTGGTATCATTTGGTTGCAACCGTAAAGTCACACTCCGTCAGTCCATTTCTATACACAGTCTATGCTCCAGCCTTGTTCAGTTCATGTTTAAACAAGTTTTGTCCTGATTTAGTTTTTTCTAAGGTGAAATAGTAAAATTTGCTAATCACTGACCTAATGCAATGCTCTGACTAGGAGATAAGACCCTAAGAACTCTCCTGTCCTCCCACACCCAGCCTACTGCCAACTGCCTCTGTCTAAGTCTCTTGTAACTTGTGGCTTACAGAGAATGAAAACATTAACTCCCATGTTCATCTCTCGAACATCAGAGCTGTTTTGGATTGATCATTTCAGGAAACACAGAGTGGAAAATGTTTCAGAGCCACATGTTTTATTAAACAAGGTCTCGGAGTCGGAGCAGCAGGGAGTGACTCAGAGCATCTTCACTCAGACCTTACAGACCACTTCACCCACGACCTCATTTAACTGCACTGTGCATGAGCAGTCCATTTCAGCTCTATAGAATATGGTGATATACGACAGGCCACTCAATAGCAATCACTTGGAACTTTGTAAGTGGACTTTATGTATATTGGCCTTGCCCACATATTCAGTCAAACTTTTTTGGTTTGATTCATAGTTGGTCTTTAGTGTGGAGTTAGTGTGAGTTTCCTCTGGTAGGCTGCCACTGCAGCTAAATACTCCTGACCAAACCTAGCTCAAGATCTGGAGGTGGGTTTCTTGAGTGCAACACTGCTCCTAACAAGTTGGCGTTGACATGGTCTACTCTCTGAATCATCAGTAATACATGCATTAACAATATACGGACTGTGAAGATTGTCCTTAATGGGAAAAAAAAAACAAAACATAAAATAAAATATGGTGTTTTAAAGGTTGTTGTACAGATGTTCTCCAGTTCTGCAGAGCAGATGTGCAGTGAGCCCTGGCTGCACCTGAAGCAGAAACAGCCTGTAAAGAAAAAAGACTGAACTCCTCTGTGAGCTGACATTGTGTGGTGCCTTTAATTTGTGTCTCTTTGAACATTGAACACTGTGTATAATATCAACATCCATCTGTGGCGTCCACAATACATTGAAGTTACTAAGCAACAGCAGCTGGTTCAGACCTGTCCTCAGAGCCACCTACAGCTCTTTATTCATGTAAGACCTGGAGATGAACTGTTGTTTTGTGATGAGCAGAAGAACATATATGCATCTATAGAAAACTATAGTGTATATGGTCCTACAAGATCCAGAGTACTACTGGCCTTGTAGTAAATGACATGTTTGAGCTAAGGCTAGTGTGAGCGGCGCAGCACTAACCGCTGTGTGCCGAGCATGAAGCCGGTTCCATTTGTGACAATGGGGCGCTGCGAGCTCTGAGTGAGCACTAATGAGAGAAGCAGCAGGAACACCTACTTAACACCACAACTTCCCCTCTCTTTATTGAGCAATTACTTTTAAGTAGCAGCTTTGTGAACAAGGAATCCTAATCAGTGATTAAAGTGGCTTTGCAGCCCTTAAGAGGTGTAATTGGTTATGGGAACAAGAGTATGATCGACGCATGGACAAGGATCCAGCTGTGACTAGGGGACTAATATTAAACTTAACTGTACAGTTACACAATAAACATGGTCTCATAGCTACAGAGCAGGCCTTATGGTGGGCCAAAGGAGCAACAGCTTTGGCTACACCTGTATTCAGTTGAATATGAAATAACATCACATTGCAGCTTTTACCATTAAAGTGAATTTTAAACAAAACATTACATTAGTTATCATCCAACTAAACTAAACAAACTTACAAACTCCAAAGTCTTTATGTGCATCCTGACTGCTGTCTGTAAGCCCAAAGTGTACAGTGAGTCTGGTGGCAGATGAGCTTGTTCTGCCTGGATTAGTGCG